ATCGAATGTCGAACAAAACGAATCACGAATAAATTCGATTTCAGAGATCCTGACAAGGTACTCGCCACCCCGACGTGGCGCCGGGCGTCACTCCAACAGCGCCGAATGTAATTACAAACCCGTCCGACCGACGGCGCTAGTATCACAGCTCTACTACCCTATAACCTACCACTATTACTTGACCTCCACACCACCCCAGCTCATAACCGAGCACAGCTCAAACTTAACCAGATTTGCAGTACTCAAATTGTTTCCAACAAACATTATATGGATACAAACACGCTGAGAATCTTGTCGAACCCAAATCCAAGGATTAACATCAAAGGGCTACACCGCAATATCGAAAGTGCGTTTTTACAGAAATACCCGCTTTGACTATAAAGATTTCGTCAGCGTATCGGGAATGGCGAAGTTTTAGCGGATCAGCCAATTCCCTATCTTGTTTCAAGAGGTAGGTCATTTTGAGGAATTTGGGGGATAACTTTATGAAAGGTCTTATTGATCGTTATGAAAATGTCCTTATTGAGGATACATCAGGAGACGCGGAGGCTCGTGCTTTGAACTTGATATGAGTTCCTTTCAAAATGAAAAGATATATCGTCACTGTATTCTCTTGTTTATTGTTAAAAGAATTTCAATATACGATAAAACCTAGATACTAAAATAAGCCTTGGTTTGGAGATATATGACAAAGGGAAGATCTTCCAGCAAGCGGGTGATATTGCTCGGTTGATAATGTCGTAAGCGAGATTAAGGCATCTGTCAAATATCTTGTGTTGTCTGATGGTCAAACTTTTTTTTTTGTTTAGATGGATGGATGAGCTCACAGTCCACCTGGTGTTAAGTGGTTACTGGAGCCCATAGACATCTACAACGTAAGTGCGCTATCCATCTTGAGATATAAGTTCTAAGGTCTCGAATATAGTTACAACGGCTACCCCACCCTTCAAACCGAAATGCCTTACTGATTCACGGCAGAAATAGGTGGGTGGTGGTACCTACCCGCGCGGACTCTCAAGAGGTCCTACCACCAGTAATTACGCAAATTATAATTTTTCGGGTTTGATTTTTATTGCACGATGTTATTCCTTCACCGTGGAAGTCAATCGTGAACATTTGTTAAGTACGTATTGTTTTGTTAATTGTTTTAACGATATCGATTTCCTCTTTTCAGTAAATCATTCATTACCTGTATAGTCATCCATATTAGGGAAAAAACGCTACTCTTTTTTATATAAATAGCGAATAACAAAGGCAGCGGATTACCATCTGAAATGTTAAAATAACTTTGATAATAAATAAACAGAAGAAGATAAATATCAATAATTGATCAAGAGAAATCAATGGATTATAAAGACAAATCAAGAGTGTATATAAATAGAATTGTATCATTGACTAAATATAATAGTGTAGCATATCATTTCATCCAAATAAATTAAAATGCAATGAAAATTCAGTCGAGAGCAAATATAAAACATTTCTATTTTAAGATCTTTTCAATCGAAACTTTTGTCGATAAAGACCTGAACCAACTATTAATTTTTGATTGACCTGTGTTTAATTTTTAAACCATTTCCTATCTGATTTTGATAGTAACCAGACGCGGCGTTGATACCAATTTTTAGTTAAATCCTAAATTAAATTTCAATAAGATTAACGTGTTTAAATTTGAATTTAGATTCGAATATAAATACATATTTATAATTCTAGAGGATTTCGCTAATCGTAGTCATGATTAAGATAGGTACGTACCGTTTAGTATGTCAGATATCCGAAACATTTCAAGTTATTTAATTAGTATAATATTCTATGTGAGCTTTACGTAATGAGAAATTCTAGACACTCGCTTCAATATTGAATAAACCAAATCAGGGTTCAACTAAGAAGAGCTGGTTTTACTAGTGGCTTACTGGACATTTTGTGAGTCCGCACGGGTAGATACCATCACCCTGCCTATTTCTGCCTTGAAGCACTAATGCTTTTTGTTACGAATAGTGGTGTAGCCGATGTACTGTAAAAACTAAGACCTTAGAACTCATGTCTCGAGGTGGGTGGCAGCATTTACGTTGTAGATGTCTCTGGGTTCCGTTAATCACTTAACACCAGATGGGCCGTGAGCTCGTACACCCATCTGAGCCATAAAAAAATACTTGCTAAAAAACAAGCGCCTACCATGGTCAGTTCTTTGTTAACACTTATTGTGTTTAAGTTTCAATTCCCTTTAATGTACGTCGGCTTTCGTTATAATATTATATCGATTTAAGAAGCAGAACAATAAATTTTAAAATGTACAATACTCAGATATTATCGTAATAATACTTTAGTCCTTCGTAACCACGAAAACTGTAAACTATTCGAAATGTCGGAAATAATATAAAGATTATAAAACACGCGAAATCAAACCAAAAAAAATAGTTTTGATTATGCCTACGAAGACCGAAGAAAATACTAAATAGGCCAAGTTTTCTAAGCATGCCATCTTTTATTCAAAGTAACACAAACATTTAGTGGCCACAAAGATTTGTTAAGTAAGTAACTACAGAAAGTAGTTGAAGTCGTCGTGGCCTAAAGGATAAGACGTCCGGTGCATTCGTATGTAGCGATGTACCGGTGTTCGAATCCCGCAGGCGGGTACAAATTTTTGTAATGAAATACGTACTCAACAAATGTCCACGATTGACTTCCACGGTGAAGGTATAACATCGTGTAATAAAAATCAAACCCGCAAAAATTATAATTTGCGTAATCACTGGTGGTAGGACCTCTTGGGAGGCCGCACTGGTAGGTGCGGCCACCACCCCGCCTATTTCCGCCGTGAAGCAGTAATGCGTTTCGGTTCGAAGGGTGGGGTAGCCGTTGTAACTGAGACCTTAGAACTTATATCTCGAGGTGGGTGGCGCATTTACTTTATAGATGTCTATGGGCTCCAGTAACCACTTAACACCAGGTGGGCTGTGAGCTCGTCCATCCATCTAAGCAATAAAAATAAAATAAAATACAAAGTAAAAATATATAATAAAATATCATATAAATCCAGCCAAAAGGTACGTGTATTTTGATGATACAAATCGTAGGTAAGATGACCTCTATTAATGATCTTACCGCACAAAAACTAGTTTCGGAATTAACTCAACTTTTCTTTCAAACGTCCGGGGCTCACGAATTTGATTTATTTAAGCATCGATCTAAAACTTCGAATTAATAGATCTACTCGCGTGATTAACGATGTCTTGTCGTATTTCTCTGTTATATTAGTATTGTAGATATTAAAAGGTCATTTCTTGTTTAACTTTGATATCGACTTTAATGTAAAATTTTAAGAATCCACCCAAGATTTTCCTTTCTTTATACCTTACGGATCACGGTCATAGTAGAGATAAAAAAGTATTCATATTCACAATCAAAAAATCGAAACTTACGTGTAGTCCTTGACTGCAACTATAGTTTAGAAATTGATTTTGTAAAACTGCAAATCTTGTTATTATAACTTAAAATAAATGAAATTTTAAAAGCTACATCAGTAACACTATATTCGATATGATATTTCGATTGTATTTTTTTTATATTTTGCAAACATTCGTGAGCTCTGCTGTAAACGAAATGTCCGGATCAATGTAGTCGTAGATAGCAATCATATCTATGTTTACCGAGGCAATACTGTCTGGAAAATACAACGATTGAGGTGCACGCGACGTAATATCGAATAGTAAATTCGATTGTAGGTAGATACGCAAGGAAAACTAACACCCGTATCTTTAGTCGTTTACACGAGCTTAACTCGACTCGACTCAACCTCCAACGCGCGTTTTGGTATGATTAGTCGTAAAAATAAACTCCACTCAAACGTCCTTGGACAATTTTCCTAACCGGAGTGAAGTATGCGAACTGTCAAGTCAAGGTACGTCGCGACGTACCTTGAATGTTCCTCAAGGCTGGTTTTCTATCAATGTCCAAATAGTATGTGGACCGCAAATGGAAATATATGATATTGTTGTAATGGCTTGGATCTGTTCATGATTCCCGCATATTTTGATAATTTAATTTTGATAATATTTATTAATAAAGTAAATAGTTCGAGGTTAGACATTTGAAACTCTTTATTTTATTTACCTACATAAGAGTCATATTTTGCTTACTACCTGATAAATAAAGTCAATGCGATTATAAGTTTTATTTATATAATAATAAACTGGTAGTTGTGGAAAAGCACTTCAACAACACGATGCAACCAAAATCACACAAAAGCGGCGAATAAAAATACAAAGCCGGATCCGAAATCTAAAATAATAATATGTAGGTTAGAAAATAAATAATACACTTTCAGATTTACCGCACGCACACATATTTATGATTAACTCAGCAACCAAAACATCAAACAAGTTCATCTAGTGTCAAACAGACAGCGGCAGCTTGACTTTGACATTAAACAATGACCATAGACTACAGAACTCTATGGGTTTGATGCTAGCTTGATCAAATTTTCATCATTATTACCTCNGACCATAGACTACAGAACTCTATGGGTTTGATGCTAGCTTGATCAAATTTTCATCATTATTACCTCACTCGAGGACAGTTGAGGAATATTGTAATGGTCGACTAAAAATACCAAACTCGAGTAAGTTTCGAGGGAATGCTCGAGCATCATCGGATGAGTTAAGAGTGGAGGACTATTTTACGAAACGTCTAAAGATACGGGCATAAGTCTATAAAGTTCTGCACTTAACGCTAGTGCATCGTCGTTTCTTGCTTAAGAGACAAAGACCTCACATCTCGTCTTGCGGCGGCGATTGCGTCCACTGCGACACGTCTGCCATTCTCATTATCTTTATCTATTCCAGCACGCTGCACAGTGCACGGTGCGCTTCAATCAGAGACCCGAGGACGCTCTAGGCCGACGCACTCGTCGACATAACACGTGCATTACTCACGAAATATTTTCATAAAACCGAACCGAACGCACCCGTCGGGCCGCCCCGCGACCCCTCGCACCCAGTAAAACCAGTTCAGTTCGTGCCCGGCCACCGTGCGCGTTGGTCGCTTGAAGTTAGGAGTGTGTTTCTTGCTTTGTTTTACGAAAAAACAACCTTCCATACCAAAACCAAACCAGTGCCGTGAATTACTATTCTTGCAGTGCCCGTGTGAGATTGTGCTTTATGTGGTGATGTTTCACGATATGTTATAGTGGATTTCTGTGGTGTAGAATCGGACGGGTTCCGCCTGCCGCCGCCGGACGCCTTTTCTCTTCGATCTCGGGATATCATTAAGGTATTTATTGTTACACCGGCTCATTGTTGTAAGGAATTCTTTCTGCGGCCCTCGTGTAGAGTTAAATCGATAGTCTCGATTCAGTATGGTGTGGTGGCGAGGAAACTCGCGGACTGTTATGCGTCGATACTGGATCGCAGATTGTTGACGATGTTTCTGGATTTGCATTGTAGATGCGCTCAGCGTGCAACGTCCCGCTATTAAACACTAAGCCCTGGAACGGGTTCGAATTCGAGTGGGCGAGTATTAATTAGACAGTTCGTTGTAACTGTACAACCACTGCTGACCGTCGCAGCGTCGTCCAACTTCACTTAACGATTATTTGATAAGTTTCGTCGTTGAATATTCAAAATTTTAATTGTAATTGAGTTAATAACCGTTCGTATCTTCGTTCGTGTATTAGGAGACGAAGCGAGAAATCTTGACAGATCAGATAGACCGTATGTTGGTTCAAATTATTTCACAGGTCTACCTAAACACAAGAACGGTCATTAATTTTATAGTGTAATGATGTAAAACAATATTCGTGAATCCGGAGGCTTTTAGGCGAATGATCGCGTTAGAGCACAATTAAACCGACTTAATTAATAGAAACCTCACGTTATCCATACATTAGGGAAACACAAATAGCCGTGTTAAGCCTGTATACACAGAAATACAGCCGCGGTTATATTTGTAGTGTTTGTAAATTCGACAATGTACACGGTAGATGGCGTAACCAGTGGCAAAACAATGAACTTTCACCCAACACCGAAGCACGATATCACAGTCGAATCTTTACCTGTAATTACACAGAACAAAGTAATGGATAGTTATGTTCAACCGTCTTCAACGGAACACGACAATTAAGTTCAAATTTGAACGTTATAAACTGTGAAAAACATTATAATTGATGTACCGATTTAATTATGTAATGGAATACAATAACATTAAAAGAACAATAACATTATAATGTTTTAAATGCGAAAGATTGTAAGTTGGTCCTTTCATGCATCTAGAATGAACGGATCGATATTTTGTGATTTTTGCACAGATGCGACTCAGTGGGTACATATAAACTTTTTTCTTTTTTTCGTTACGTTATTATAGAAAAAAATAACACAGGCAAATTTGTGTAGTTAAAATACTTACGAGCTTAATTCTTATAATGAATTCTAGTTTATGCCTAATGCATCCTAACACCTTTTTTTTCAATTGTAAAAATATTATATTCTATACTTCTATAGTAATACCATATTTTTGTATTTCTTTGTTAGTTTTGTAGGACAGTGTTTAACAAAACCACTATAAAAAAGGTATAATAAGCGAAAACAAACAAACTGAGCATACACATCTCATGCAAATTTTCAAAAACAGAACAATTGCTACTGTACGTCGCCTTCGACATTTTAGTATCAGAATTTGATTAAAAACGTGCATCGGATCGCACAATTTTATTGTTAAAATTGGTGAATAAGAAAAACCGATGATTTTCTCGTAAAAATGGGTTCTTTATTTTATTAAAACTATTAAAACTATTTTTTCATCCTTCGTGCCGTATCACTTTTAAATTATTTACTACTACTTAATGAGTAAATACAAATGCAATAAAAAACAAGTTATGACTTAATCGTAACGCATCAGAGGTCGATAACCCCTTCAATGACGGGGTTAGAAAATCGCAAACGTCCTATTGGATGGGTGGTCGATTTTACACACTACGCCGACTATAGCTAACAAAATTAGGGGATAATGCAAAACAAAAGCTTAATTTTCGCGGCCTGCACGTGTCGCGTTGGTTTTTTGAGTATGCCTTTGGGTAAAAAACACCCGAGTCCGGAAATGTGGCGTGTCACATCGGTACTTGTCGAACACATGTCGACATGTGTCGCGGCAACATAGTGCCGCCACCGGTTAATTGACTACGAAAAAAAAAAACCGCGTTCCGTTTTACGTATTCTACGATTGATGCGCGCGGCAACATTCTTGGCGTGACGCGGGGGTGTGTTCGAAATTTGATTTATGACGTTTCACTTTTCGAAATGTGGCCGAATTTAAAATGACTGTGTAGTACGGTCTCTTTCTAAGCCGCATCGTTAGAAAGAGATTTGATGGCATACATCAGATTTATTAAATATAAAAGTTTGTTATAATAATATGCATTTTGAAATGTTCACGTTATTTATGTTCTAACTGTACCTGAGTCATAGTCTCAAGTTATTTTTATTGTTCAATAAAATTACAGTCCATTGTATTCTGAATTACAACAAATTTGATTTAATGCAAAACGTTTTGGTGGGTTGCCAGATTCGATTTATTATAGACATTCTAGGAAACGGCCTGAGTTTAATGTATTGTTTTTACAATGACCCAAAATTTGCATGCAGCTTAATTAAGTATATTATAGAATGATGTGACGTATATTTTGTTTTAATATATTGTGCTGCGCATTAGTCAGTGCTCAATCTAAAACATTCTAAAATATCAATAATTGAATAACTAAATTCATACTAATAACCAAATGAGGAATAGTTCGTTTATAAAATTTTCAAATGAAATGCTTATCACATAAATCCGAGACATCTGACCTCTTAACTGGATTCCTTGTACTATAAAAATAAAATTCTTCTAAAAAAACTTAAATACGTATAAATCTTGCTAATTTTATAAATGCAAAGCTTGTGAGGATTTAGTTTCTAAAGACGAAGACGAATTCTAATGAAACTTCACTAGGCTTTATTAGCTTATACAATGTAGCAGTTTTTTTTTTTTATTTACGTCGAAGACACCGCGGCTAGTGGACACCGTCAATGTCAGACGACACTCCAGCTTAATTCACGTTTTATCACATAAAATATTGACCACTAAAACCAAACTCAATATCATTATCATAACCAATTTAACCTTTAACCGCAACGAGGCAATATTGTGCATAATTTATCGCGTTTATTATTGCAAATTATTCCATGCTAATGTAATAAGTGGTCTTAAAATAGATTATACGTGTGTTGTTTTGATTAGCTGTTTCGCTCTTCTTAGAAATGGTTACCGAAGTTAATGTCTCCGCCTATCCTCAGTTTGAGATCGTACTCCGTAGAAGTAGTTTATGACCGCCACTTACCTTTTTTCAGGATAGCAAGTGATGTGACGTCATTCTTCGGTAAATAAACTATGTATGTCGTTTCAAAAAATAATGTCAATAAATAAATCTAACACATGTTCTTTTTTAAGTAGCTATTGTAAAAATAAAACATACACTGTTTCTTAACGTATTTCTTATAGTGGCTGTATGGGTTCCGTTCCGTTTGTCTGTATCGATTGATTAATCGCACTAAGCATTAATGAAAACGCGGGATGCTAAAAACCCTTTAAAACAAACGCTAATTCTTCTAATTATCTTAAAGATAATGTAAGTAAAAAGCACGTTTATTGTGTGGTAACACACTAAATACAGACCACGAATGCTAAGAAAAACTTGCTTTTTTTTCATACCTATTTTAGTAACCTCGAGATGTTATACTAGATTCGCCGAGAGTAGGTGAGCTGACGTTGCTAATACTAGCCCTAGCAAGAGCAGCGCTTCGCAGAATCTACCATCTATCTAATTTAAATCTAAACTAATCTAAAAAACTAATCTAATCTAATTTTAAGGTGGGTGGCGCATTTACGTTGTAGATGTCTATGGGCTCCAGTGACCACTTAACATCAGGTGGGCTGTGAGCTCCTCCATCCACCTTAAGCAATAAAAAAAAAATCTACCACCGGATCGGAAACGCGACCCACTGAGAAGATCCGGTGAGAAACTCTGTGGGCTAATTTACTCAACGAGCCCTTCGTCGCAAGCAACGGGTTCGATGAGAACGGTGACCGGTGCTTGAGGTACTTAAAAGCACCGAAAGCTGCGTAGGGTTGACTGAGCACACGGCTTACATGTTCTTAAATGGCTTCCGGAGCCTATAGATATCAAAAACGTAAACGCAGCCACCATATAGCACGATGACTGGCTAGACGCTATAAATAGGTTAGGATGTGGTACCTACCCGTGCCGGCTCACACGACACCCTGCCAATTCAAATTTATCTCTTCATATTCCCGCGGCGAATACAATTAAACGGCCGTCTGGTGTAGTGGTAAGTGACATGGTCACTACACAAGGGGGTCGCGGTTTCGAATCCCGCCAAGGGGAGATATTTGTATGATAAATATATGTATGTGTATAATAAAAATCTTACATTTATTTCCGTTATCTGGTAACCTGTAACACAAATTCTTTACGAACTTATCACGGGACCAGTTAACGTGGCGTGATTGTTAGTAAATATTTATTTATTTATTTATTATTTAATGGTCATGATTCGGCTAAAGAAACAAATATTAATGATTCGAAACTGTCACAGTAAGTGGACTCGGATAAGAACAATGACGTGCCTCTAAACGGTATCAATGGTAAGAGATTTAACAGTAAAAAATACTGGACCGAGCGTGACCGTTAGACGGTCAGATTATAACGAGACTCGTTCTTGTTTACTGGTGGATTAATTAATTTTGACAGCTCATTGTGACATATCTGAACTTTTTTTCTATCTGTGATGCCTTTGCGTTAATCATTGTCTACGGTTGCGTTATTCAAAGTGACATTAAACGTCAATGTCATAATGTAAAAGTTTTCATTTATTCTCCGTTAGCGATGGTTTAAAAAAAAGTATTCCACCATTGAAAATTTGACTAGTCTATGATTTTATGACTACAAAGGTACTTATCGTCTTCTTAACTTAAATAAAAAACACATATACATACAACATTTATCGTGATTTAATAAAATAAAAAAAACTATACAATTCGTTAGAAATAGCAATGTTATTGGGCATGTTACTGATTCATTTCGATTTTAGATTACCACACCTAAAAATAAAAGCTTTTTAAATGTCAAACACTCATAGCAGATAGCTATGTATCTCACTACGAACTCATAAAGTATCCACAACTGAAAACTGTAATGACAAAACCCTCTTAGGAAAACA